GTTGGAATAGGAGCTTGCTCCGTCCACTCCGTCCACTCCAAGGGGAAAACAAAACCAACTCTGAAATACCATCTTAGACTGATCAGAATGGCTAATATCAGAAACACTGATGACAGCTTATGCTGGAGAAGATGTAAAATAAGTGGAACACTCCTCCATTGCTAGTGGGAGTGCAAACTTGTACAGCAACTGTGGAAATCAGTATGGCGATTTCTTGGAAAATTAGGAATCAAACTACCTCAAGACCCAGCAATACGGCTTTTAGGCATATACCCAAAGGAGACACACTTATACCACAAGGACATTTGCTCAACCATGTTCATAGCAGCATTATTTGTAATAGCCAGAACCTGGAAACAACCTAGATGCCCCCCCCCACTCTCTCTCCCACAGTGTCCTCTGGCTTGGAGAATGTTTTGTTTCCAACAGTTTTTTAAAATTATTTTATGTATATGAGTATTTTGCCATCCTGTATGTATGTACACTGTGTGTATGCCTGGTACTCACAGAGGCCAGAAGGGGCATCAGCTCCCCTGGCACTGGAATTACAGATGGTTATGAGCTGCCATTTGAGTGCTTCGAATCAATTGCTCAATGCTTAGTCCATGAGCCATGTCTCTAGCCCTCGAGGTCGGCTCCTGGGCTAGATATGGAGCTGGGAGAGCAGGGGTGAAGGGTGTTCAAACATGCAGGAAGAGAGTACGGAGGACAAGCCACAGACCCAATGCTCCTTGGCTATAAATAAGCATTTGGGAACATCCTCTGTACTCCCCGGAAAGGACAATCATAAATAACATGCCCGCTCATATGATTCATTTCTTTAAATTATAATATAATATCCCAGTTGTTCTAGGGAGAAGAAATGAAAAAGAAAACAATTTATTACCAAGCAGCACATATTTCAATATGTCAGGGGCCAGGCCCTGCGGCCCTAGAAAATATAGTGTAGGGCCGAGCGCCTGCCCCACTTGTCACGATAAGTTAGGCATAGGAAGTGAGAACAGGAAAACGTGCACTATGAAAAGCTAAAGTAGATATTACCTTGTGGGCGGTGTTTGCTTGTTTTTCAAACTGCAATAACTACTATTCATATTCCAGGCTGAGGTCTGTAGGGTTTCAAGGTGAAACGGTCTATGCCGGTAAATAGCAGCGGTATTCAGCCGGCCAATCGCTGTGGGATCAAGACGTGTGCCCTCGTGCTGAGGACATGGCTCAATGCATAAAGGTTCTTACAGTCAAACAAGGCAACCTGTGGTATATCCCATGAGCCCCCATGGTGGAAGGAGAGAAGTGAATCCTACAAGCTGCCCTCTGCCTTCTACAGCATGCCATAACCTGCGTGTGCACCAAAAATAAATAGGCTAGCAGGGCGCTTGTGGCGCTCGCCTTTAATCCCTGTACTCGGGAGGCAGAGGCAGGTGGATTTCTGTGAGTTTGAGGCCAGCCTGGTCTACAGAGTGAGTTTCAGGATAGGCTCCAAAGCCACACAAAGAAAAATCCTGTCTCGGGGAGAAAAAAAAAGTAATAAATAAGTAAATAAATAAGCGTAATCTTGATGCCCTCTGTTACCAGAGCTGCAAGAACAAACTCCCCTCCCACAACCATCCAGTTAATGCTTTAACTGCTACTACCCTGCTAGCCTTCCCTTCTTTCTTACATATCTGTATTATATAAACATTTGCTTAGACTCCATACGAACTTTGCAAGACAGTTATTTGGGAAAATGGTTCAGAGCTCCCTCTAGCGTGAGTGTTTGTTCTGGTCCCTTGAAGGATTATGAAGTCTGCGAAAAGGAAATAAGTCACTGATTCACTTTTGTAAGCGCCCAGTAAGACAATGCTGCCTTTCTGGGGAAGCACCTTTCCAAGGCGGCCGGCCCAAGGCTCCTCCATCCAATTTAGCTCAGCTCAGCTCCCCTCAGCTCAGCCCTGCCTGCACCGCCTCCCGGTGGCCAATAGATGTACTGCGCCCCGGATAGGAAATGTGGGGCGGGGATGCTGGTCCCAAGAGCTGTCCAATTGGTCATTAAAAGTTGTACCACTGCCGGTGGAACTGGGTCACCAACCCAACCACAAAACCTTCGATCCCTCCTGCCTGCTAAAGAGCGGGGAGGAGGTGGACACGGGGCCAGGGATGGGGGACACAAGGAAGAGCAGTTCTTATAGGAACGGTCAACCAACCAATAACTGTGCAAATTTGAGACCTAAGTCCCGAAAGGGAGCCCATGCGCCACACTGCTTGGATGACCAGGAACCGGAAACTGAGGACCCAGGGTAAAAAAAAAAAAAATCAATAAAATTATTCCTAATGGCCGGGCGGTGGTGGCGCACGCCTTTAATCCCAGCATTCGGGAGGCAGAGGCAGGCGGATCTCTGTGAGTTCGAGGCCAGCCTGGTCTACAAGAGCTAGTTCCAGGACAGGAACCAAAAGCTACGGAGAAACCCTGTCTCGAAAATCATAAAAAATATATATTCCTAATGATATATTGCTAAACTCATAGATCGATGCCTAGCGCTATCACAATCACAGAGGCTGATGGGAGCAGATGCAGAGACCCATAGCCAAACATTAGGTGCAGAGGAAGCCCAAATTAGAGATCTCCATCAGGTCCCCTCCCTCTGAGCTCAGGCAAACCCCATGGAAGAGGAGGAAGAAGACTTGTAGGAGCCAGAGAGGTCAGAGAACACGGCCCACAGAATCAAATAAACTGAGTTTATAGGAGCTCACAGAGACTGGAGCAGAAATCACGGAGAGAAGCTGCATGGGGCTGTGCTACTAGGTCCTCTGTGCTATGGTTGTTAGCTTGGTGAGTTTTTTGACTTGTTTTGTGTTTTGTGGGTTTGGGTTTTTGTTGTTGTTGTTGTTGTTGTTGTTTTGGTTTGTTTTGTTTGGTTTGGTTTGGTTGGTTTGGGTTTTCAAGACAGGATTTCCCTGCATAGCCCTGCCTGTTCTGGAACTCACTCTATAGACTAGGCATCCTCGAACTCAGAAATTGACCTTCTTTTGCCTCCGGAGTACTGGGGTTAAAAGCGTGTGTGCCACCACTGCCTGGTTTGGCTTGGTGTTTTTGTGGGACTCCTAACAGTGGAAGCGGCCATTTCCCTGACTATTTTGTCTACCTTTGGGACCCTTTTTCTCCTACTGGGTTACCTCTCTCAGCATGATATAAGGGTTTGGGCCCAGTCTTAAAACTTGTTTTGCAGTCTTTGGTTGATAATCCCTGGGAGGCCTATTCTTTTCTGAAAGGAAACAGGAGCAGTGGGTCTGGGGAAGAGGCAGGTGGATTTCTGTGAGTTTGAGGCCAGCCTGGTCTACAAGAGCTAGTTCCAGGACAGGAACCAAAAAGCTATGGAGAAACCCATATGGAGTTTGAGGCAGAGGGGAAACTGGGAGGAGTGGAGGAAGGGGAAGCTGCGGTTGGGATGTATTGTATGAAAGAAGCATAAAGAATTAGAAGGAAGGAAGGAAAGAAAGAAAGAAAGAAAGAAAGAAAGAAAGAAAGAAAGAAAGATTGTACCAGTACCATTGAACTCTTTAGCTGTGTGGAGAAGCTTATAGATCTCCCTCTCAAAATAATTGTCGAGCCGGGCGGTGGTGGCGCACGCCTTTAATCCCAGCACTCGGGAGGCAGAGGCAGGCGGATCTCTGTGAGTTCGAGGCCAGCCTGGTCTACAAGAGCTAGTTCCAGGACAGGAACCAAAAAGCTATGGAGAAACCCTGTCTCGAAAAATCCAAAAGAAAAAAAATAATTGTACACACACTTATGAAACATGGACACTTGTTTAAAATAAGGGTCACAAGACATCTTGGGGTAAAAAGCGCTTTCCACACAAGCCTGGTGACCTCAGTTTGATTCCTGGAAGACATGGAAAGATGGAAGGTGGACTCTACAAAGCTGTCCTCCGAAAATATAATTTAACATTTTAGTAAACTAACAACTGAGGGCTGGAGGGATGGCTCGGCCGTTAAGAGCTCCTATTTTTCTTCCAGGACCCAGGCTTAATTCTCACCATTCATGGGGCCCTCACAGAGGCCTGTAACTTCAGTCCCCGGGAGCTCCAGCGCCCTCTCTCTGAGGGCTCTGCACACACATGGTCCACAGACATAAATGCAAGCAAAACATTAATACACATAAAAAATAAAATGAAAAGGAGGGGTTTGCATGCCTTTACTCCCAGCACTCAGGAGGCAGAGGCAGACAGATCTCTGTGAGTTCAGGGCTAGAATGGTCTACAGAGCAAGTTCCAGGACAGCCAGGGCTGTTACACAGAGAAACCCTGTCTCAAAAAAAATCAAAATACTAATACTACTTACTACTAATAATAATAAATGAAAATAATAAACTCATATTAAAATACTAAAAATAGGGAAATAGTTTTAAGCATGTCATTAGTGATACACTAGTCAATAAATATGCTTCCATATTTAGCACTTGGATACTCAGATCTAGAGGCAAGTCTAACAATTAATAACTTTCCAAACCGCGAGGAGTATACATAAAATTTGGGATGTCAGCAACAACTGATTGCTTCAGAGTTTGTTTGATTTTGTTTTTTTCGAGACAGAGTTTCTCTGTATCTTTGGAGCTTGTCCTGAAACTCGCTCTGTAGACCAGGCTGGCCTCGAACTCACAGAAATCTGCCTACCTCGGCCTCCCAAGTGCTGGGATTAAAGGCATATGCCGCAGCCGCCTCCACCACCGCCCAGCTTGGGAATTCTTAATAGAAGGGAAAGCAGTCTATCAGAGGTTCCTAAAGGCCACGAGGCAAGTTTTTCCCATCAGATCCCGCAGACTCCTGAATGTCACCGGCAGAGCTGTGGTGCTCAGATCTCAGATTAAGGTTAAGCAGGAACTGGGGTTTTGGAGAAGCGTTGGTGCGGGTCTGCAGGTTGCAGTAACCTACACAAGGTTGCAGGAGGAAAAGCAGAGGCGCCTCTGAGACTGGGCTGGACAAGGGGATGCACGCCCCTCCCCTTCCTTCCTGGTTCCAGCCTGGCGTTTCTGCTGGAAGCTAAAACCCAGAGTGGCCCGAAGGAGCGGGCAACTGCAGGCATCTGCTCCCACCGTGTCCATCACCCACCATGCGGCCTCTAGTCTTGCTGTGGAGCTGCCTGGTGCTCCCAGGTGAGGGGGAATGGCGGTGACAGGGATGGAGGAGCAAGCAGGTGCAGGCCTGAGCTCACTCTTCTGGTCTGCAGAGCCTTTTCCCCTCCACCCCGTGAGGAGGTGGGGTGGAGGAAGAAACTTCCCCATTTCATCCCAGCTAAGCCATCCTCAGCCCGGCAACCCTGGGCGCACGCAGCACCTGGTGTTTTTGAGCTCAGACCCAGGGGTCTTCCTCACGCTGTTTGTGGCCCCTGCGCGCGGCTGTGCAGCTGTAAAAGGAGCCTCGCGGATCACAGAGATGCATCTACTTATCTTGCTAACTCAGCTAACTTCGTTGGATTTCTACTCAACTTGCTTCTCTTTCTTTGCTTTCATTTTTTTTTCTTGCTTTACTTATTTTGAAATTTTAATTTATTATTGTTATCGTGTGTGTGTGTATATAAACATTTACATATACTACACACGGTATATTTAGTTTAGTTAGTTCATTGCAAGAGGGCAAAGGGCTGAAGGGTAGCTAGGCGCACCTGCAGGGGAGCTTTCTTTGCTCTTATCATTTTTATCTTTTATTTCTTTTCTGCAATGCTCAGAGGAGGGTGGAACCTAGGCACTGGAGCACGCTGAGTGAGTGCTCCATGGTAAGCTGCATCCCCAGCTCCCTTTCCATTGTTTCAGACTTGAACTTACCCTGATCCCAAGTAGCTGTGACCACAAGGGAGCCCACCATGCTGGGCTCCTTAACCCATTAAGACCTAAAAATCAGGATGCATCTTATAACTGCTCAGTTAGGCGTGTTTGTTTAGTTTTCCCTTAATAATATATACATTAACTCGGGCTGTTTTCTGAAGTCTTTATGACATGTATTCTTCATGTGTGTGTATGCACATACGAGCACGCATTGGTACACAAGAAGCGCAGCACACGTGGGGAGGTCAGCGTACAACCTTTGTGGTCAGCTCTCTTCTTCTTGAGTCTTAGACTCACTTTGTTGGGCTTAGCAGCAAGGGCCTTTACCCCTTGAGCCATCTGGCCAGCCTGGCTTATGTCACTCAAATGCAATGAAGGAGAATGTTAATATCCTCTGTAGACGAGAAAAACATAGATTTTGTTAAGCAACTTGCCCAACATCACGAAGCTACGGAATGCCAAGGCTGGGATTCAACTTCCCAGGATTCTGAGTCTAGAACTTTTCTATCCCTTTTTCGTCTATCCCTTTCAATTAGTGGTGTTTAAGGAAAGAGTGGCAGGATTGTCTTAAGGTTCCCTAGAAGAAGAGAATCCTGGGGCTTTTTCAGGCTGCCTCAGAAGATCTGATGAGAAAGCCTCCCTTCCTCCCTGTGAAATGGGAGCTCCGGGTCTGGGCCCAGTACTTGGATCCATAGACATCCCGTCTCCATTCATGCTGTGTTTTCAGGTTATGAAGCCCTGAAGGGCCCAAAGGAGGTCAGTGGATTTGAAGGTGACAGCGTGTCCCTGCAGTGCACCTACGAGAAGAAGGTGAGGGGACACAGGAAGTACTGGTGCCGAGAGAGTGGCCTCATCCTGTCCCGCTGCTCCGACATTGTCTACTCAAAACAGAATCAGGAGGTGGTACGGGGCCGGATGTCCATCCTAGACAGGCCCCGAGAGCTCTCGATGACCGTGACCATGACGGACCTTACCGTGAAGGACTCGGGGAAGTACTGGTGTGGGATTGACAGACTGGGCTTCGATGAATCTTTTGAAGTGTCTCTCATCGTCTTTCCAGGTAATGAACGGCTCTCCCCGTGGCCTGGGTGGGATGGGCAAGAGGATCTGAACCATGGAAAGTTCCCTATTACAGAAGGGGGCAGACTTGGTGCCAACCTCATCAGGCCTTCTTTAGGATTTGAGGAGTTAGTAGGGACACCTGCTGAGCACTGGAAACAACTCAGAGAAGCCTCAGTTGTCCCTTTGCAAGTCTCCCTGTTAGGATTTCATAGAGCAAAATGTGGTCACACCTGTTGCTCTTGGCCTGGTTGTCTTGGGGGAGACAGGATGAGGACAAGATGACCATCTCAGGCAACAAGGAAGGAGCTGCAGATTTCCTGTGTCACAAATGCTCCCACAACCTTCTGAGCCCAGCCCGCAGTGTTCCCTAAGCCATGAGCTGGCTTCACTATGCTGATGGTCTCCGCATTTTTTCCACCTTCTGTATGGAGAATTCAGGGGAGGAAAACTAGAGGGGGCCAGAGTACAGACAGTCCTGTCTCAGCCAGTGAGACCTGGGTAGATCTCTGAACCACCACTTCCTCCCACATGGGACACAGAGACACTCCAAGACACTCAGTGACTGGCCTAAGGTCGAGGCAGGAAGCGGAGTAGGCAGGACTCAAACCCAGATCACTGCAACCTGTATCTCTGTTCGAAAGATGGGCCCAGGAGCTAGGACCCATCCTAAGCCCTGGTCTGTCACCAAAGCCTTCTCTTTCACTCCTGAGTCTCTATGACAGTTCAGGGAAATAAAAGTAAACAAACCAGATACTAACAGCAGCAACAAAGCCTCACTGATGAGACTGGAGGGTGTGGCTCAGAGGGCCAGCTATGGGTAAGACCCTGGGCTGCATCCCTAATGCTGTAGAGATAGAACAAATACTCCTTGAGTGGCTTCTGTTATTCAGAAGGTCCCAGTCTCTTTCATCTCTTAACAGTGCACAGACATCTTTTTTTCCTAATTGTGAATAGCTCTATCTTTATTTCTTTTATTTATTTGGGTTTTTTAGATGATGTCTCTGACTCCTCTGACTGGCCTAGAACTCACAGAGATGATCTACTTGTCTCTGCCTCCTGAGCACTGGGACTAAGGTCCTGTGCCACCCCACCCAGCCTAGTGTTCTCTAGTTTTGAGACTCTCTTGTGTCTGGTTATTGCCCTGAGCTCTTGTCACCTCTCCAAGGTATGTGACCCATGCCTTTTCATCTTTTCATGTTAGAGCGGGTTGGCTTCTGATGGCAGCTCATCCTGCCAATGACGAGGGCTGTGTCAGTGGGTATCCCCACAGCCACTGGGGACACTGGCCTGTAATGTTTATAGGTTTCTCTGGTAGCAACACTCCCTCCTGCAAAACCAGTTTCTATCTGCCAAACATTTAACAACCAGCTCCCGGAATCCCTGCAAAGTTAACAAGCCAGAGGGCCTCCAGGGCCAATCTAGGAGGGAAATATCCATTATCACATCCTCTATTTCTCATCTTCTGGAGGCCCTAGGCAAGGCACAGAGGCGTAGAGTAGGAAGCTGCTCTTGACTTACAGAAGATTTAGTCGGCTACTTAGAAAAAACACAAGTAAATGACCGAGCGTTAGACTTGAGAGTGGAGAGCAATCCCAGAATGTCCAGGTTGGGTGTCGTCAGAAAAGACCCTGGGATGCTGGCCCTTGAGGAATCCCAGCCCTGTGGGAGACCCTGCAAATCCATAGTTGTAGTCAGAGTGAGCACTAGCTCCCCAGGAGACAAACACGAGATATTGAGGCACACAAAGGAAAGGGAGAATTACTCCACGTTACTGGGACTTAACTTTCGAGCTGATGATGGAAGACAGGGCAGGGGGTGGGGAGCAGAGGTGAGGGGGAGCTTTAGGCAGAGGTGTAAGAGAATGGTTTCACAGAGGGACAACCTGGCAAAGGCACAGCAGTAGAAAGGGTGACCCTGAACACAGGGCATCTCTGCGTGGCTCCGTGAGTTCCCCATGGAAAAAGAGGTGACTTTGGTAGGGTGATCTGAAGTCTGAGTTTCAAAGGCCGTGAAAAACACACTAAGTAAGCAGATGGCATTTCAGCTTACAGCTAAAATGGGGAGCCACCGATGGCTTCCAGAGCAAGAAGCAATGGGATCTGATGTGTGTTTTAGAAATGCAGGTGTCCGTGCAAAGGGTGGTGTGAAAGAAGCAGGCTGGGACAAGGAACATGGAAGACCTGATCCAATGAGAGACTAATATGGGTAGCAGGTGGGGAAGACACAGGATCCACTGGGATCTGCCAGTTATGGCCTCTGATTGGCTCGGAGGAGACAACAATGGCGCCTCTACTGAGAATGAGGGGCCCACTGTGGCAATGTCTGTCTCCCTGAGAGCAGCCTCTCCATTTCCTTTAGGAAGAAGGGACAGTCCCACCCCCACTGGCACCTGCTGCCCTACTTCCCCCAACCCCTCCTTCCAGCCTCTCACAGCTACAAGGATCCTGCAGCCCAAGGCAATAGCCTGGCAGACTCAGCTCCCAGAACTGAGTGAGTCAATGGCTTTCCTGCCCCTTCTCCAGTTCAGGAAACAGCGTGAGGGCCTCCCAGCTGTTCCCAACAACCTCAGAAGCCATGGTGGCTCGAAGGAACTGGGCACTGACTCAGGGCCACGTGGGAAAAGGCTACAGCTGACCCCAAAGCTCTTCCTCGGGATCTGGGGATGAGCCAGACATTGGCCATGACCTCAGACCTGTCTTTGCCACATTGCTCTGCCCAGCTTTTGGGGGCTGAAGGAGGTTAGGCCTTACCGGGACATCTGGGTCAGGAGGTTCAGCGCTGGGCAGATGGAGAAGTTGCTTTTTGGTCAGAGAAGAGGTGACCCTGGCCTGGACTAAGGGGAGGACCAGGATGTAGGACAGGGCCTTGGAGGTAGGGTCTATGTCTACAGAACAGATTACGCATAGATGTGCCTGGTCCAGGGTCTTCTTGCTCTAAGGGCCTCACTTAGGCCTCTGCTCGCCTTCTGGGAAGTGTTTTAGTTGAGGACATCCTGAGATTAGTTTGAGATTGGAAAGGTTCATGTTCAAATGTCTGGGTGGAGCTCGAGGGCCAGGGAAGATGCTGAGGTATTGTTTTTGGACTTATAGCTTCTCCTGGTCTCCACCCGACAGTCGTCACAGTCAAGCAGGGGAAGACAGAGGTTAAGGCCCCTGTGTTCACGGAGGAGGCCCCAGCCTGGTCTTCAGGAACCTCCCAGGTTCTCCTAGGAACCTCTCCATATGCTGGGAGTGCTCCTCACACAACAACCCCAGCCTGGTCTGCAGGAACCTCCCCTTCCCCAGGAACCTCTCCATATGCTGGGAGCTCTCCTCACACAGCGACCTCTCCTCATGCAGGGAGCTCCCGCCCAGTCATCTGGCCGCTCAGCATCACACCAAAGGACTCCACGGCCAGTCGTGTCCTCACGTCCAGGTGAGTCCAGGGGACCCAAGGTGACTCTTTAACCTTTCAACTCTCCTTTCTTTCCTCCTGGCAGATAGTTCCTCTGGTGGTGGCCACAGCCTGTGGTTCAGAAGGCAGACTTCAGGCCTCAGTCCCCTTGCAGGGCTCATCTGGACACACAGAGCCTCCTGAGGTGAAGGGTCTCCCTTGGACCCAGAAAGCATCTCTCTTCCCCTCAAGTCACCCCAGCTCAGGGGTTTCCCTGTATACTTTGCTCTGAGCCCTGGGCTGCATGAAAATATGAAAGCCCTTCACCAACCTTTTCTTGACACAGCTGGATCCCAGTCTGCAGCAAAGGATTCTGGGCCAGTCTGCAGCAAAGGATTCTGGGGGCTCTCCCTACTCCCAGTTCCTGCCTTTCAGGTCACCACTAGCAGGTTCAGACCAGGCTGAATATGTCCTGTAGGGCTGGGGTACCCCGGGCAGAGCACACTGGGATGATCTCTAAAACACTGGCCCCTCACGCCTTCTGATATCCTCAGGTGACAGAAACCTGACTGGACGCTGAATTAGAGCACTGTGTTGCCATAAACCGGTGCTGGTGACACCGCCTTCAGGCCAGTGAGCCTCCCCATTTCTTGCCGGATGTGGAGGAGCACACCTGTAATTCCAATTACTCAGAGTTAGGGAGGCCACAAGTTCAAGGCCAGGCTGAGTTAAATTTGTGAGACCTTGTTTAAAAATAAAAAGTCCTGCTTGTTGAATTGTATAGTTTAGCAGCAAATATAGCTAGGTACTGTACTAAGATTTGTTCCTAGTGGGAGGAGTATTTAATTTGAGATAAGTTCTCTCATGTAGCTCAGGCTGGCCTCCAGCTCCTTTAGTAGCCAAGGATGACCTAAACCTCCTGATCTTCCTGATAGTCTATGTCCCAAGTGCAAGGATCACAATCTTGAATCACCTCACCTGTCTTTGAACTCAGTATCTTTTTTTAATTTATTCATTTATTTTTTATGTGCTTTGATGTTTTGTCTGCGTGCGAATGCCTGTGTAAGGGTATCAGGAACTAGAGTTACGGAGACAGCTGTGAGCCTCCATCTAGGAGGTGGGAGTTGAACCCAGGACCTCTGGAAGAACAATCAGTGCTCTTAACCTCTGAGCCATCTCTCCAGCCCCTGAACTCAGTATCTTAAACATTCCAACTTGTTTGATCCTCACAGCCTTGCTTCATAGGAAGTAAAATCGGTGGTCTGGAAGGTTGTTTAGTCATTTACTCAGAGTGACATGTCCCTGAAATGTCAAGACCAGGGTTCGAACCCAGCGAGCCTCGATTTGGGGATGCGTTGGCCATCAGGCTAGAAGCTTATGCATGGGACTCAAGGGAATAGATGGCTGATCTGGTAACCGCCACCAGGCTCCTCCAGGCTCCTTTCATCTCTCCTCTAGTGTGTCCATCCCGGTGGCCCGCATGATGGCCCCAGTCTGGGTGCTCTTGTCCCTTCTGCTGGCGACAGGTCTGATTGCCTTTGGCAGCCAAATGCTCCAGTGGAGAAAGAAAGGTAAGTGATGGACATGGCGGGAGGAGGCTCGTGCACACCTGTGATACATCAACCTTGGAAAGACCTGCGGGCCTCAGTGGGTGGGTCTGAGAACCTTCTGTTTGCTGTGTGTCCTGGTGCACCCCTTTAGTCTGAGTTCAAGGTCAGCCTGCTCTACAGAGTGAGTTCCAGGACAGTCAGGGATACACAGAGAAACCCTGTCTCAAAAAAAAAAAAAAAGAAAGAAAGAAAAAAAAACCTAGCTGTTTCCTTCTGAGGCCATGAAGCAGCCAGCACTGGGAAGAACAATTTAACTGGGGAAATGGGAGCTCTTTAATATGAAAGTTCAGGGAGCCAAGATGGAAGCATATACCTATAACCCCAGCGCTTGGAAGGTAGAGAAAGGAGGGGCAGAAGCTTAAGGACAGTCTCGGACACATCGTGAGTTCAATACTAGCCTGGTCTGCGGGTCTAAACAAACAAACAAATGAGCAAACAGAGCAAAAGAGCTAGCAAAGCTGATTTTAACAATAACAATTAAATTTCACTCAATTCAATATACCTGAAACATGACCAATTCGGCACGGAACCAATGCTAAGATATTAAGGAAACCTGGACATTGTGGTGTACACCTGTTGTCTCGGCTACTCGCACTGAGGCAGGAGGATTAGTTGAGTCCAGGAATTTGAAAGCAGCCTGAGCAGTACAGCCAGACCCCATCTCAAAACCTCAACAAAATTTGATGTTCATACCCTACACTGTGGTTGTTGTTGTTTTTGTGGTTTTTTTTTTTTTTCCATGTTGAGCCTTTGGAAGTTTAGATAAGACTTCACATGACCACATTCCCATGCTGGGTGACGTGCGTGGCTTCTGGCTCCTGTGCTGGATGGTAGAGGTCAAGCAGATTACATGATGTCATGGTATTAAGAGTGCCAGGAACCAGACGAGGTCCTGCACCTCATCTCCATTAACCTATTGTGCTGTGGGGTACCCCATCTTATAGTGGAGGAAAGTGGACGCTTAGGCAGCTTGCCTTGTGTTTGAAGGCCTAGGAAATAGTAGAGCCAGAAAGAGACCTACATTGGCATCCCAGAGAAGGTGGGCCTGGGGCTTTCCTGGGCCTGCTTCCGACCTTGTAAGAAATCTCAACCTATTCGTGTCCCCAGATTCTCTCTTAGGAGACCAGAAGGGAACACACAGGGTGGGAATAGCCTCAACTCTGAAGCCACTCAGCATCTTACCTCTGGAATTGTTGTTCCCCAGCAAGCGGCAGCGCCCCCTCTGGTAGCCTGTTAGAAATGCAGAGTCTCAGAGCTCAATTCAGAACAGAATTTCTGTATGTGAAGAAAATTAACCCTCAGGGTACCTGTGGTAGTCATTTGGGTCAAACAAAATTCATGTTACATGGCCTCTGAAGAGATACCTCACGTGAGGTGAGGGCAGAACTTCTCACTCATGGCTAGGAAGTGAAAAGAAGACAGGCCCACAGACACCTTCAAAATGATGCCCTGGGTCCCACCTCTTAAAAGTTTTACCACTCGCAAGTTGAAGGCCAGGCCTCCAGTGGTACAATTAGCATCAAGCTGTAGATGTTCCCCATGCTTATTAAGGTTCAAGAAGTGAACACAGTTTCCTCATCCACTTTCTAGTTCTCATATATCTCAAATGCCGACTCCTTCCTAAAAGGCCGAGCTAGACAGGGCGTCCTGCTTCAGGGCCTCCTAGCTCCCTCTGGGAATCCCCCATACACGAATGACATGACCTTCTGTATTCTGGGAATGACTCAAGGTCTTCCTGGTCTCAAGGTTCTCCTGGGTCTCTTTCAGCTTGGCTGGCCACGGAGACACAGAGGAACGAGAAGGTCTACCTCCCAGCTTCGGTAAGGACCCAGGGAGCCAAAGTCTGAGATCAGACCTAGGTCAGACTTCCAGACCCATCTCTGTGCCCACCCAGAGGCAGAGCTCGCTCCCAGCCTTGAAAGGATCTGTGGGAGTCTCCAGCCCGGCCCTTTAGGGTGTGAGCTCCTTGGCTTGCCCATCATTAACCCTGATCCCCACCTGGAATCAGGCAGGGTCACCAAGAACCAGGTAGGCATCGTTCCACCAAGTGGGTACCTTCTTCCCACGCTGTTTAGAATCGTGGTTCTTCAACACTGGAGTGAGAAGGATCCCTGTGGATCCCGGGTCAGTGTGTATCTCAACTCTGATCCCATCTCACCTGTTAGCAGGGTTGGAGATGGGATTTCCCAGACTCCGCTTCCAGCCCAATCTTCTAGGGCTAGGGCTGGGAACCCACAGCCCATCAGAGCACAAGGGCCCCTCAAACATGACTCCATTGTACTTCTACAAATGAAACCGAGGCCCAGAGAGTACGAAGGTCTGGCCCAAACCCAAACAGCCGCACTCAGATTTCTCAGTTCTTTTGAAAGATTCATTTATTTTATTTTATGTGTATGAGTATTTTGCCTGCATGTATGTTTGTGTGCCACATGTGTGCCTGGCGCCCATGGGACCCAGAAGAGGGTCGAGTTGCAGACAATTGTGAGCCACCGAGTGGGTACTGGGAACCAAACCCAGGTTCCCTATAAGAAAAGCCAGTCAGTCCTCTTAACCACGAAGCCATCTCTCTAGCCCCAGATTTACCAATTCTTCTTTAATCTCTCAAAACATTTTTTCTGGTCCTCCACTGATTCTGAGGCCATGCTACTCAGGTTTGGCTGCTCAAGGACCCAGTTGTGAGCAGAGCACCCTGGGAACCAGTGGGAGTGGGGACTCGGGAGGGGAGGATGTACAGAGGTTCCTGTGCACATCTTCCTGAAGAACCAAGCCGTCCAACTTCCCAGGCCAGTGCTTGCCCCCTGCCCCCCGCCCCCAAGATGCTGCAGAATTGTATTCGAGAAACAAAAATCCTACCTTGCCTTGCCTGATGCCCTGCCCCAAAATCCACCCACTTACTGAGGCATTTCAACTTTATTCTTCCAAACGTGGGGCCAGGGAAAGAGGAACTATCATCCCCTTCTTTCCTGGTGTCAGTAAAGACAAAAGACTCCAGGCAGATACCCAGGGGAGGGCTGAGTGGGGATGGGCTCTTCCTTGACTTAGGAAGCAGCTGTTGTTGTCTCAGGAAGTGGAACAAGGCCAAAAGTGGCTAAGGGGAGTGAGGCAAAAGTCATGGGAACAGAGGCCACCCTGGGCCACCTTCAGAGCTCAACCTTCTGGGGTGGAGATGGCTCATCAGGAGAGTGCTGGGGTTCAGAAAAACAGCCAAGGTTGGGTGTGAGGGTGTCTCCTGCCCTGCCACTGTGGGCGGGCCTGATTCCAACCTGGGGCACCTGAGCTCCCCCTGCAGCCCTAGGAAGGAGCAAGAAAGAGCTCAGGGCAGTTTGAGCAGAAGGACACTGAGTAGCAGCCACTTTAGGTAGAAAGATAGGAGAGAGGGGACCTTGAAGGTCAGAGGCCATTGTCACCAAAACAGTCAGTCAAAGACGCATGCTTTGTTTGGTAGAGTCCCCATTTCTGCAGTCTTCGGCAGAGGTCGGGGGAAGACACAGGAGTGGTTGGGGATTTTCTTTGCACACACTCACAACAAAGAAGGAAGAGGACACTTGTCCTGTAAGAGGCCAAAGGAACTGACATGGATGGCGGCACAGACCTGGCATCCAGCACGCAGGAGGCTGAGGAAGGAGGGTTGCTGTCCAAGGCAAGCCTGGGGTACACATGGCAGAAACAGAGGTGAGAGCAGGCAGTGGGGGCTTGACCCCTTGTCGTTTCTATCGGGGCAGGCAGTGTTATTTCCTCCATTTTATAGACATAGCAACAGAGACTCAGAGAGGGTGATTCTATGCCCACAGTAACACAGCTTGAGAAAAGCAGAACAAGACGAAACCACCCAAGGTCTACGAGGCTGGCTGCTGTGCCGTCCATCCTTCCACACTGAAGTGCAAGGATTGGAAGAATTCAGTCATATGTGCTGCCCAAGGCTGGTCCTGCAGACTCCAGAAAAAGAACCATTTCTCTTCCCTAAGCATGGGATAGTCACAGACCAAATGCCTCCTGTGCTGTTTGTATCTGGTGAATCTTTGAGGCCCACGAAAACCAGCAGACAACTTGTTCCCTCTGGTTACGAAGGAATAAAACAATTAAAACAAAACAAACCATTCCAGTGGTAAGATGCTGTCCGCAGACTGCGGGCACAGCTCACTTGGTAGAGTGCTTGCCTGGTGTGCACAAAGCGAGCCAGCCTCAGCTGAGGGTGGCGGTGCACATCTGAGATGCCAGCCCTCAACAAGGTCATCCTTAGCTATAGAAGGAATTCAAAGCCAGCCTAGGAAGTGTGAGACCCTGACTTGGAAAACAAACAAAGAAAGCATGGTGACGCTGGCCTTTATTCCCAGTATCCGGGAGGCACAGGAATCTCTGTGTGTTCAAGGCCAGCCTAGTCTACCTAGCAAGTTCCAAGTCATGCAGGATTACTTGGCGAAGTCCTGTCTTTAAAATTAGTGCTATCTGGATTGTGTGACCCTGAGAAGTAACATGTATTCAAGCTTTTTAGCTTGCCAAGGTAACACCCAGGTGCCAGAAGTCATATGGCAACCAGAACTATGTCCTTCCTCTCTAGCTCCTCTGGGCTTAGTTCCAGACTGTCTATACTGCTAAGAACAGGCTGTCCTGAGTTCTGACCAAGTTCCTCTTACAGCCGCCAGGGAACAACTGGGTGCCTGAAGATGCCATGATCAACCTTGCAGCGCCTCCCGAGTGTCTCAGCAACACCAACGCCTCCTCTGTGCCCTTCACGGAGACCCAGCACCTCGGCCAGGTGTGGACAGAAGGGCTCTGGAATCCACGCTAGCTGACACCACTGAGATGCGGGGAGGGCTCTTTCCCCAGCATCCTCTTCCCCAGAAGCCCCACCCCCACATCTGTCCATCTAGCCTATCAAAACCGTAATAAGACTAGGTCATTTCCCCCAGGCTCCAAACTTCACGATCTCCTCTTCCAGGCTCAGAAAATTCTTTAATAGCATGTTGGGTGTCTGTTTAAAGAGTTCTCAGCTGAGCGGGGCATTGTGGTACATGTCTGTAATCCTAACAGTTGGGAGTCTGTGGTCAGAGGGAGGAGCTAGGGGATTAGAAGCCAGTTTACTTGGTGAGACCCTGTCTCAGACCCCTGCGCTACAGACAAGAGATGAGGGGGCGGGGGCTCTGCTGGAGTGGAGACCTCACCACCGCCAGGCTCTGCTTTTCAACCTCACCATCATCCCTCCAGGCTACAGAGGAAGGGGCAGCCCGTTCCCTGGACGCCAAGGAGGATGAGGACGCAATGGCAGCCCCTCCCCTGCAGGCGTCCGCACAGGAACTGGCTTCCGAGTTCATCTCTGTATAACCGCAGAATGGCCCATGGTCAGGCTCCATAAAGCTGAACCGCTGAGTTTGCACGAATTCGCCGGCTCTGCTCATACTCCAGGACTCCGTCCACCTTCCTCCAGGCTCCCTGCTTGTTCGCTCCAGAATGGTAACGAAGTGAATCTGTGGACCCTGGAGCCCAGCGTGGATGTAACAATTCCAGCCAAAGGCTGAGACCTCCCCAGCATATTCTAATCTCTAGGAAGAGTGCGCAGCTGCGGACCTTCACCTGGGCCTGGCAAGGCTCAGTAGATGAGGGCTGAGTTTGTATGGGTTCCAGGAAATTTCCTGGGCGTCGGTGCCCAGCAACCGTCCCTCCTCCCATCCCCTGCAAATCCCACCTTCGCTTCCCTCCATTCTCTTGCCGCAGCTACTGTGGAGGAGACAAAATACGTGTGTATAAAACATATGTGTTTATAAAACACCTGCATTCTGGCCCTTCAGAACAATCATTAAAACAGAATTCCCGAGCCCCGCCCCAAACCATCTGGAGGGCAAGGCCGGGTCTTCACCAGTGGCTCTGACAAGTGACCAAGATTCCTACACTTGAGCCTGAGGGATCCTTGGCTTCCTCTAGCCTGAGAGTCTTTCTGCCTTCTCTCTTTCACTCAGGGGTCAGCTGTCTCTCCTTCTCCTTCCCCACGACCCTGTATTCCAGGCTTTGGAAGGACACTGGAGAAAAGTTCTCTGTCCAAAACGGGGCTACTACTCCATGGGCTCTGGAGGCTTGGGGAGGAGGAGGAAAGCAGAGTGGAGTGGGGAGGGGAGGGGGCAGGAAGAAACAAGACGCCAGTTAGTAGAAGATAATGCTAACTAAATCCAGGCCAGCTGGCTGAGGGAAAGACGGTCTGGCTCAACTCTTTGCTTCCCTTTTACTATTTCGTTTTGAAAACGACACACTGAGAGGGAGGTGTTCAGCTCGTAAAAACATAGAAACACAGGGAAAAAGACAAAAAGCGGGGGGGGGGCAGTGTTTTTAAGGTCATCTATAACCTCACCAAGCCCTGTTGGCACCCTGACCGCACTTGGCTGGATCCCCCTCCTTTCTCCTCCACACATTTTACAGTTGCTCCTTTCACAGAGGGGTCACCCCATCCCACGTATCCCATCATAAGCATTCCTACAAACCTTGTACAATAAACTGTTTCTCAGCTGCATAGTACTTCAGCATATAGGTGTGCCTCAGTTTACTGAACTGGTTCTCTGTCACTAGCTGTGAATCTTTATGTAGGAGCAATAACTGCCATTGGAAATCTCTAGAAGGATTTGAGGGAACATGTGGTCCTGAGAAAAAGAATATTTTCTTCTCTCTCTCTCTCTAGTTTGTTTTTTTTTGGGGGGGGTTGTTTATTTGTTTTGGTTTTTGTTGTTTGAAACAGGATCTCTGTAGCTTTGGAGTCTGTCCCGGAACTCGCTCTGTAGACCAGGTTGGCCTCAAACTCACAGAGATCCACCTGCCTCTGCCTCCCGAGTGCTGGTATTAAAGACGTGTGTCCCTCCTCTCCTAACCTCTCCTGGAGGGATGACTCAGTAGGTAAAGCATTTGTTGTGTAAGCAAGAGGACCCCAGCGAGTTCCAGTTCCTTGTAACAGCCTCACTGTGAGTCTGTACCCCAGTGCTGGAGGGAAGATGGCAAAGCCCAAGAGCATGGTAGCCAGGACATCAACCTCTAGATTCCCTAAGAAACCATCTCAAGGCCGGGCGGTGGTGGCGCATGCCTTTAATCCCAGCACTTGGGAGGCAGAGGCAGGTGGATCTCTGTGAGTTCGAGACCAGCCTGGTCTACAAGAGCTAGTTCCAGGACAGGCTCCAAAACCACAGAGAAACCCTGTCTTGAAAAACCAAAAAAAAAAAAAAAAAAAAAGAAAAAAAAAGAAACCATCTCAAATCTAGAGGAAGACAGCCGGTGCAGATCTCTGGCCTGTACGGGGCACAGGCAAATGAAACCCCCCTCACAGAGGAGGGGGAGGGAGGAAGAGACAGACAGACAGACAGAAAGAGATAGAGAGAGATAGACAGAGAAAGAGAAGGGGGAAGGGAGGGGGAGGGAGAGAGAGGGAGAGAGGGGGAGAGAGAGACTCTGTACCTACAAGAATGCAGGCCATGCAAATCCACTAATACATTAAAAATTGGGATAAGCAGTGCCCCCAGGCAGTTAGCAGAGAACACCCAAAAACTAAGTTCATCCAAAGTGGACTTTCCAACCTGACAAAGTAGCACACACCAGCAATCCCAGATTTTATGAGGTGAGAGAGAAGAATTCCAAGTTCAAGACTAGTCTGTGCTGTATGAAGAAACCCTGCTTCAAGACACATGTAAATTAAAATGTGCTGGTGCTTAAGAGTGACTGATGGAAAAGGAACATCTCTCTCTCTCTCTCTCTCTCTTTCTGTGTGTATGTGTGTGTGTTATCTAAACACAATTACTATGTGTCAATTTTTAAAACTATATTTTTTAAGAACTATTAACAAAAAAGTCAGGCATGGTGTTGCATGCCTTTAATCCTAGGAGGCAGAAGCAAGCAAGTGGATCTCTGTGATGTGAGTTCCAGGACAGCCAGGGTTATGGAAAGACCCTGTGTCCAAAAAAAAAAAAAAAAAAAAACCTAATAATTTCCAGACTGTCTTTAATTTAGGAAAATGTCTTAATGCCAACTGGAAGCTAAAAAGACGTTTTCTCAATCCCAAAAGTGTGGCAAACAAGGAATAAGGATGGTCAGCTAACCCGGCCTCACTCCGGGAGCTTCTAAAACAAAGCACCTCCCAAAGCTCACTCAGTACCGGGATGAGCTGACTGCCTTCACTCCTCCACAGACTACATTTCCCAGCCTTCCTTTCAGTATCCTGGAGCTGGGGACCAGGTTCTAATGGACAAGAGGTCATTGCACACAGGGACTGCCTCAGAGACCTGCAGTCATAATGGCGGGATGGTGTACCACGACTCCCTCCTGCAGAACTTTGGGTGGAAAGGATGCTGATGCCCTGGACCACACATACTGCTGTGGTGGAACCCCTGGGAGGTGTGATGTGTTGTGTTCCTGCTGTTAGAGGGATCTAAAGAGTGACACTCCAGTGTCATCTCCTGCCGTCGGGTGAGCACCCAGAACCCGAGAGCATTATCACTGAGAGACTGTGGAACTTTCACAGAGGATGAAGCCAAGCCCTAGGGAGGCAGGGGCATCTGCTGAAGGCCATAGGAGTTCCATGTGAAGTCATGTGGATTTGCCATGGAGACCCTGAGTCCTTTGTTCCCTGATGCTCACAGCTCCCAGGCATAAGCTCTTAAGATACAGCACAAAGGGGCAAGACAAGGAGGAAGACACCATAGTCAGTCCATCTTCCATTCTAGAAATATTGTTAGGTTTTTAAACCCAGGACAAATGGCCAAGGTGCCTATGTAACATAGAACAGATACTGGCCACCAGGTTCTCCCTGCATCCCTCGGTCCCTACCTACTGTTGAGGGCCCTTCTGGCTGGCATACCCAGCTCCCTACCCTGAACTCCCAGGGCTGGGGGTGCTGAGTTTCTCTTCCCTATATAATCCAGCCATCACGGTTACTAGCTCTCTTTGTATGCTGGGCCTTGTAGCCACTGTACCTGGCTCCCCGCTCTCTCCTCTCCCTTCCCCTCCCCTCCTCCTCATACGGTACAGCTCAATCTGACCATGTCCACTCTGTACTCTCCCAGGTGTCCCTGTCCCTGCCTCTGGCTAGACTCTCCTATGTGTCTCCTCCACCACACCTAGGAGCAGTCATGCGCTTTCCTTTTCCTTTCTTTCTTTTATTCCACTATCTGGGCTGTATTCCCTAACCCGCACCTTCTCCCCAAACCATCTACCCAACCCCCCAATCAAAGACCAACGGAGTCCAGAAACATATGCTTTCACATTTAATCAAAGGAAAAGAAAGAAAACTTAAGAGTTAGATGGCTGGCAGAGGGAACGAAGGAAGGGCAATGGGCTGAGGCTGAGCGTGGACCATGGGGGGCAGGGTCCTCCTTCTCCCGAGGTCCACGGTGGGAGGAAGGGGGGGGGAGGACAGACTCACAGAGGTCGGTGGGCACCAACAAGTTCTAACTAAAGGGCTGTGCCAGGTGAGCTGAGGAGGCTCCCAGCCTCTATGCCCACGGGGTCAGCACTTGAAAGGGGTGTAGAGTGGGGCTCAGCGGGAGAGGTAGGAGGCTGTTCAGAGAGGAGGGACCCAGCCCTGGCCCTTGCACATTACCGGGGATGCTGTGAGGATCGCTGCTCCACTGGGTATCCAGAGGGAAGGACTGGTACCAACTCTCCAGCATGGTGCCCACCAGATCTCTTAGAGACCCTGGTCTTTTGGTCAGAGGGCTTTGTGGGTAAATGGGGGGGGATCAGGGAGGATCACTAGTCCTCCAGGGGAGGAGGAAATTGGCAAGCAGGGAAATGTGCCATTTCTCTCCCGCTACGGGTCCCCTTAGGCTAAGTGAGGGTCAGGGTCACAGCACGATGCTGAAAGGAAGGACAGGATATTGACTGACAGGAAACAAGGTGGGAAGATGACTGCGCGGGTGTGGGCAGAGCTATGCAAATGAGCAGCAGGCCGTCCACCTCTAGTCTGGTTTGCACGTCCAATGGCAATGCAAATGAGGCTTCTAATATAATAAATATATTTCTAGCATTTGTAATAAATATTCTGTTTATTCTCCCTCCCTCCCCTCCCCTCCCCTAGGAAATGGGCACACAGTGGTTCAGGGGTCAGCTTGGGCTGGCACTGCAGCAAAGACTGACACTCAGGAGAACGGGGAGGCACAGGGTGGGGGTGCCGGGGGGGGGTCCCTGAGAGGACAGGAGCCCCCTCAAGAAGGATGAGGGATGAGATGTCTCCGGATGTCAAGGACAGAGGTTTTAAAAGGATTCTCCTAATTTACAAAATCACCCTTCCCCGAGGACTAAAGGCTGGTACTTAGGATAGGGGACAAGAGGAGAGTAGAGGAAGGCCCGGGCTCTGGGGGCCTCAATGAGCCACCTCCAAAAAAAAAGCAGTCCTCTGCCTCCCTTCAAACCAAACCACATCTGTGCATATGCACACACACGTACAACACACAAACACCAAGGCCAGGAACGCGGACCGGCACCACAGCAGGCAGAGCCGCAGACTGCCCAGCCTGGAGTGCCAATGGCTCTCCCTTGGAGTTGTGTGGCAAGTGCTGCTAAAGCTAGCCTGTCTGTTCCCAAGCCCAGACTCACAGTCTCCCCACCCCCTCTTCAAGCCCAAGCTTACCAGCCCTAATGCCAGGGGCCACCTAGATCCATTCAGAGAAAAGCTCAAAGCGAACAGAGCCTGGTGTGGGCTGTGGAGCCCGGAGTACTTAGATCCCAGCAACAGAGGGTTCAGCTTTCTAGGCCCTATTCCCAACCTGGGCTAAGTCTCCTGCCACCTTCCAGTCACAATGTTTGGGGAGCAGGGCTTATAAAAGAGGGACACATGGAGAAAGTCCGTGGAGAGACTTTGGCAGTGAGAAGCTAGGAATAAAGGAGGGACCAGGCTACGTTTGCTCCTGGAGGAGCTGAGGCCTGTGCCACCAGCTACAACAGCTGGCTCACGATGGGACTCCCCCAGTCTCTAAAACAGCCCAGACTGACACCACTGCCCAGGTCTGCTTAGCTACCAGTGGTCTGAGTACCTGGCCACAGGAGAACAGCCCAAGGCTATT